GAGGGAGCAGGCTAACTGCTCCCTTCCCTTCCCCTCCCCTGCCCACACCCACCCAAAGGCCATTCTCTCCCAAGCTGTTTGGCAACTCTGTTCAAGACAGCTTAAGGTTCAGGAGTGGATCGGGAACAGCGAACACTCTGGCAATACTTTCCTCTCCCTCGAGCCCAGACTTCAGTGGGCGTGCAATGTGGCATTTTGCTTCCGATCAACCACTTCCCCAGCAATTCGCAAGAGAAAAATAAGAAACTCTAACAGCAGAAGAGCAGACAGACCCCAAGGGCTCCCCACTCTGCCCAGGGAGAGGCTCCTGGTGATCTGGACCCACCAGTTGCTGGTCGGACAAGGTAGAACAAGGCAGGTTTAATCTGTGCTGCTCACTTCCCTGCAGATTGGCCCCAGACCAGCCTGGAGGTTGAGGAGGTAGATGTGCAGGCCTGGAGGCTTACGATCGACCTGCAGGTCGGCCCCAGCCCAGCCTGGAGCATAAGGAGGTCGCCGCGCAGTCTGACCCCAGGCAGCCTGGAGGATGAGGATGTCCACTTGCAGGCCAGCCCCAGCCCAGCCTTGAGGCTGAAGAGGTTGACCTGCAGGCTGGCCCCAGACCAGCCTGGGGCTGAGGAGGTTTACCTGTAGGCCAGACCCAGCCCAACCTCGGGGCTGTGGAGGTCAACCTGCAGGCCGGAAACAGCCCTGCCTGGTGGCTGAGGAGATCGACCTGCAGGCCGGCCCAAGCCCAGCCTAGGGTTGAGGAGGTCCACCTGCAGGCCAGCCCCAGCCCAGACTGGGGAATGAGGAGGTCGACCTGCACGCTGGCCCCAGCACATCATGGGGGCTGAGGTGGTCAACCGGGGAGGCTGGAACAAGCCCAGCCTGGGGGCTGAGGAGGTCGAACAGAGGGCCAGCCCCAGGCCAGCGTGGGGGCCGACAAGGTCGACCTGAATGCCGGAGTTAACCCAGCCAGGGTCTGAGGAGGTCAAGGTGCAGGCCAGCACCAGCCCAGCCTGGGGGCTGAGGAGGTCGACCTGCAGACCGTCCCCAGCCCAGCCTGAAGGCTGAGGAGGTCGACCTGCAGGTCGGCCCCAGCACAGCCTGGACACTAGGAGGTCAACCTGCAGGCCGGCCCCAGCCCAGCCTAGACACTGAGGAGTTCGACCTGCAGGCCGGCCCCAGCCCAGCCTGGACGCTGAGGAGGTAAACTTGCAGCACAGCACCAGCCCTGCCTGTGGGCGAGGAGGTCGACCTGCAGGCTTGCCGCTGGCTAGCCTGGGCTTGAGGAGGTCGACCTGCAGGCGGGCACAATCCCAGCCTGGGGCTGAAGAGGTCGAGCTGCAGGGTGGCCCCAGTCCAGCGTGGACACTGACGTGGTCGACCCGCAGACCAGCTCCAGCCCATCCTGGACGATGAGGTTGACCTGAAGGCCGTCCCCAGCTCAGCGGAGGACGTCAACCAGCAGGCTGTCCCATGCCCAGCCTGAAAGCTGAGGAGGTCGACCTGCAGGCCGACCCCAGCCCTGCCTGAACGCTGAGGAGGTCGACATGTACATTGGCCCCAGCCCTGCCTGGGGGCTGAGGAGGTCAACCTGCAAGCCGGCCCCAGCCCTGCCTGGAGGCTGAGGAGTTCGACCTGCAGGCCGGCCCTAGCCCTGCCTGGGGGCTGAGGATGTCAACCTGCAGGCCAGCCCCAGCCCAGCCTGGACGATGAGGTCGACCTTCAGGCCGGCCCCAGTGCAGGCTGGATGCTCATGTCGACCTGTACGCCGGCACCAGCCATCCTGGAGGCTGAGGAGGTCCTCCTGCAGGCCGGCCCCAACCCACCCTGGAGGCTGAGGAGGTCGACCTGCAGAAATTAGTATTATTGGTTCTGGCCTCAGTGTAAGTGCTGGAGATGGAGCATCTAGAATACAAGCTGAGGGATCGCCAAGGGGTTTCCCCTGTTTTTACGGTCTTGTTTTCTTCATCATCCTCCACTTAATTGACAAATGATAAAAAAAAAACATGTCTCTATCCTGACACAGAATTATTCAGGGCTCCTGAGAATCTTCAGCATAGAGTCCCCATGTGGGAACTTCCGCAGGTCCAGCCGCTTCTTCTCTGGCCCCTAGAACTTCCCGCCCTCTACTTCACTACAGAGACATTCTGAGCCTCATCCTCTCTCCTCTCAACTGTTGAACATGCATTTCACTGATCTCGGAAACCTTTCTGCGCTCAAACAGTTCAAGTCTCAGCAGAAAATACCACCTCCTCCAGAAAACCCCAAATGTCCTTGCAAAGAAAATCCATGTGGTTCTTATAATGACCTTTATCAAGATACATCTTTCTAAATCTGTTTCTCAGGCTAGATTGGGATGGTAACTTGCCTGGAGTCCCTCCCCGGCACTCAGGGAATAGAATGTGCCTGATGTCCAGGGTTGAGTTGGGGATTCTTAGATTAAGGGCAGGAAATATGGTATATTCCTCTTTCTTGATCCTTTGGGTATAGACGTTCCAAATGGACTCATGACTGAGGGAATAAATAAAGGAGCTGTGTTTCCCCACCTTAGAGGATTTGTGCTTGGTCCTCAAACACATGTGCATCTAATCCACAATGCCCACCTATGGCATTCTATAAGGGGCTCATCATGCCTTGACACCCCAGGAAGCCACTTGCCTGTACCCCCTCAGCCTGGATGCTACCTTGGTTCCATTTCCTCCTCCAGGCTATTAAACTTGACTCCAGAAGCTTCCTCTGCTCCAGGTAACTCGTGGATGAGATGGGCCCCACCCCCAAGTTGCTTACTCCTGGGAGTCCCTGGGACTGGAAGGTGTGGGTCGTGTGTGGTTTCAGCTGGAGAGCTGCACCCATGACCCACAGATAGTATCGGCCTCTGAAGACCCCCCTCTTTGTTTCTCACACAATTCTGGGCAAACAGCCCTCATCATCCAGTCAAGGTGGACCCAGAAGTGGGAATTTGAAAGAAGATATGCAGGTGGGGGTTCAAAGGGTTCTCATTTCACTTTTGTATTCCAGGTCTGCCTCTTCTAGCCTGGAATGTTCACTTTGTCATCGATGGGATGAGGTGACAAGCTTAGGTGACTTGAGTCCGGGGGTGCCCTAGAGTTGGTAACTGTCACCTTCTGGGAAGCAGTGAGCTATCGCCGGGAAGTGACATCTGATTCCGAGGAAGTCGGCCTTTGTGACGGGGTCACCATCGCACCAACGGACACTCTCTGGCAAGTGTGTGAACTGCTACAACATAAAAAGTACAGGCCAGTTTGATTTCCCAGGCTCCAAGTCCTCCGTGGGGTTCTGGTCACACTCGCTACACAAACCATCTGCAGCTTTGCTCCGGCATCTGTTATTTACTCGCTGTCCCAGGCGGAATTAGAGCCCATAACTCACCGGCGTCCACCCCCTTCTCCGCGGACAGCATCATACCTCATCTCAGCAGTGGCTCCCTGGCCATCCATCAGCCATTCCAATTTAGGAATCACTTGCCAAAGTGGACGTTTTTCTTTGGGGATTATCGTTATACATCCATGTTTTAAATTTGGGGACTACGCCACCATTTTGCTAAATGTTTTTTTTACCTTTTTTTCTTTTAATCTCACATGTCTCACACTTAGAAAGGGCCTGCTATTCCTCCCCAGTTTTTCCTTCCTCCCTTCATGAAGAACTCTGATAAGCCATCAGACCACATAGCCAACCCCTTTTGCTACTCTGGGAAGTCACCCCAAGCAAACCAATAATGAGGATCTTCTACCTCAAGGTCCTCAATGAGAAAGACTACTGATCAGCCGTTAAGCTTGAGCACACTGCAAAATTTCTCTGTGCCTCAGTTTCCTCGAAGATGAGGACTGATAGAGCTTAGTCAAGTACTGGGGATTGCTGGGCCCCATTGAAGAAGGAGGGTCTGAGTGTGCAAAGGTCAAAAGAGAAAGAGAGGCATTTGAGAACTGGCGGACTGGAGTTTGTCGCAGCTGGGATCTAGGCGCCACGTGGAGGGCAGGAGTGACACGGAGGCGGCACGGGGCTTGGATGGTGGAAGGTTTTGAATGCGTGTAAAGATATTTGGATATTGTGTCAATGTGATAGGAAGTCTTTGAAGGTTTGAAGGGGAGCTATGGGTTTGTTTTTAGAAATGCCAGTGCCAGAAGTGTGTAGATTAGGTTGAAATAGACGCAGAGTAAAAGAGAGAGAATCCAGGAGGGGCTGCAGCAGGCGAGTGGGTGAGCGTGTCTGGAGGCCTGAACTAAGGCAGGACAGTGGAGGAGTCATTAAAGGGCTCCTGAGAGCCAGGAAAGGAATCTATCTGCTATCACCAACGCTCGAGGCTCTCAAGTTTCTGGATTGGACAACAGGATGAACACCAGTGCCACTCGCCAAGGTAGGAATGGAGGGATGGTGGTTTTGGCTATGCTTTTTTTGTTTTTTGTTTGTTTTTGGAAAGAAAATGAGAAAAGTGAATTTAGGTTGGGGATATTTTGGGTGAGTGGTCCTGGGACACTCGAGAGAAGTTTCCAGTAGGGAGACTTCTCAGGAAAAAGGAGAGTCATCAACATATAGAGTCTGTGAAAGCTAGAAACAGATGGAGGATAAGATCATTCAGGAAGCAGGTGTCATAGGAGCAGATGAGACCCTGGGGAGCCACTGATGTCAAGGAGAGAGACCATCAAGGAGAGAGTGACCGTCAAGGAGGAGGAGTCAGTTGTTCCGACAGTACCACAGGGAGCAGAGCCCAGCAGAGCCAAAACCAGAGAGGGACAGGCTGAGAAGAGGCTGGAAAAGGCAATAAGTAGAGATGAATATCACATTTCGGGAGGTTCCCTTGTGAAAGCAGAGAGGCAGTGCCAAAGGAGGTTATTGATCAGTGGGTGGGTTGTGATTTTATTCTTCAATAACCTTTTTGTTTTGGAATAGTTTAAAATGTATAGCAAACTGGGCTGCAAAAACAGTTCCAATCCCCATGTCATTAACATCTTACATTACCATAGTATATTTATATCAAAACTTGGTATATTACTATTTACATTAAAATTCGGTACATTACTGTTAACTAACTTCCAGAATTTATTTGAACTGTTGTCAGTCCCAAGATCCAACCCAGGGTGGTACCTTGCGTGTAACTGTTGGATCTCCCTGGTAGCTTCTGGTTGGTCTTTCTTGTTTCCATTATTGTGTACTGGCCAGGGGGTGGGTACTGACCAGGGAGCTGCAGAGCAGCCCCAGTCTGAGTTTTCCTTGTGGTTAGCCAGGGCTGTGGGTTTGGGAAGACAATAGCACAAAGGCATCCTTCTCATATCAGGCAGTCATGTGGCCACACCGTAACACTGATGATAGCTGCTTTAGTTAATATTTCGTTCCCTGTGAAGTTTTTGCTCTTCCTTCACCAGACTCTGTTCTTTAGAAGTGACTTCCTAAGCCCAGTCCAAACTCCAAGGCAAGAGAGGGGTGCAGGGGGGGAGACAGCTTTTCCTCTTGTTTTGCTTTTTAAGATGAGAAAACATCTTCCCAGCACAACACGTAATCCTCATCATTATCTCCTTTGTCTGAAAACTGTGACATCTGAGTCTCTGGGACACAGCAGAGCACTAAATCACATGAGATTTTATTTTTGTATGTTCATTATTTCACATGTGTTAGTCAAGAATCTGAGCAAAAGCAATTCAGTGCTGCCTGAATGGGGCTCATGTGTCTCCTCTTCCTGGACCTATGAGGATCCCACGTCCTATTCTTTTTACCTATGGCACCATCACTTAAATTCTGTCACAGGTGACATTTGACAAAACTTAGTCAGATCAACTAACTCCTGAGGCCCTTGCCTGTCCCTGCAGGTGGAATCCTATCCTCCACCCTGACTGCTGACAGATACATCAGAAGGGCAGCAAAGGGAATAAATTGGGCTCTATACCAACGGCAGGCTCTGGTGTGTTAAGCAGGAAGACAGGACAGGGACAGGATGTGACAGGAGGACCTAAGTGTGCCTTCCTGGCTGCTCCTCATGGTGCCTCTGCTTTGGCTTGAAAGCTTAGAGCTCATCTGAGGAAATGGCCTCTAAAATGTTCCCAACCAATATGCACATCAAAGACCTCTTTACAGACACATCACCCAAAGCAGTGATAGTGAAGGCAAAGATAAACAGCTGGGACTACATCAAATTAAAGAGCTTCTGCACAGCAAAAGAGACAATAACAAAAACAAAGAGAAACCCCACCAACTGGGAGAACATTTTTGCACCCAACACTAATGATAAAGGACTGATCACAAAAATCTGCAAAGAGCTGATGAGACTCAGCACAAACAAAGAAAATAATCCAGTCAAAAAATGGGCAGAAGAGCTAAAAAGAAACTTCTCTGAAGAGGAAATGCGAATGGCCAACAGGCATATGAAAAAATGTTCAACATCACTTGCAATCAGGGAAATGCAAATCAAAACTACCATGAGATACCATCTCACACCAGTGAGAATGGCACATATTAAAAAAACTAGCAACAACAAATGTTGGCGAGGTTGTGGAGAAAAAGGAACTCTCCTGCACTGTTGGTGGGAGTGCAAACTGGTCCAACCACTATGGAGAGCTGTGTGGAGATTTCTGGACCTACTAAACATAGAGCTTCCATAGGATCCAGCAATTCCACTCCTAGGTATTTACCCAAAGGACACAGAAACATCAATTCCAAAGAGCACCTGCACCCCTATGTTTATAGCAGCACTGTTTACAATAGCTAAGCTTTGGAAACAACCCAAATGCCCCAAAATAGATGACTGGATCAAGAAGATGTGGTACATATATACCATGGAATATTACTCAGCATTCAAAAAAGATAAACACATGCAATTTGCAGCAACATGGATGGCGCTGGAAGGGATCATACTCAGCGAAATAAGCCAGAAAGAAAAAGAAAAATACCGGATGGTCTCACTCATAGCAGGAATCTAGAAAACTTAAATAAGGGGCCAGGAAAATGAATAACTATAAGAAAGTGAAAATCAAAATCAACAAAAATCTATGAACCAGAGACACTTTTGGGGGGGGGTGGCGGGAGGGGAGGAATTGGGGTCAAAATGGGGGGGTTGCAATTGTATGGGGAATATAAAAATAAAATTTATTATTAAAAAAATAATAATAAATAAAATGTTCCCAACCTGGTACTTTGCTCAGAAACTCTGCAGGCATATGTGTTGGAACAAGAATCGTCTTTCCCTCTTGACTATGCGTGTAAAACAGATGGGAAGTCCATTCTAAGAAAAGGATAAGCAGGAGATCTGGACCCCAGGATCATTGCTACAACTAGCTGCTTCTGGGAACCAGAGCTCACCATTGAACTTCCACAGCTCACCTTTAGCCTTGGCGAGGTGAGAGAGCTGGGCTGACCACAATCAGTTTCATTGAATTCAGTTCCATCCCCCAGCTGCTTTAGTAAGCAGCTGCCATTCGATTTTGTTCCTGGGGCATCTCTGTTACAGTCGTACAACAGTATGATTGGCCTTGGCAATGCAATGTGGAAGCCATAGCTCAGAAGAATCACATGGAAAAGGAATCAGGGCTTCACAGGTCAAATTCCAGCTTGGAGAGTCATGCAAGATAAATGTGGGGAAGCCCAGTGGAAAGAAGGGGCTCTGAACCTCTCAAGAGACGCTCTGTGTTCCTTCCCAGGGGGCAGAGGCCCGGCAGCCCTCAGTCGCCTCCAGCCCCGTCCCATCAAGTGGGGTTAGCTGGCCGTTGAGCTCACATGACAGATGACTCTTGGGGCCTCCAGAGTGTTCTCCAGCCATCACTGGGCTGTCAACTGCAAACAAAAGCCATTCATTGCCCTCACCTCCTCTCCTGAATTTTTCCTAACTTTGTAACATGCAAAGCACAAGATGGGCCATGATCATTTGAGGTCCCCCAATGCCTGCCTATCTAGAGCAACCGTATTTTTCTAAAAGTCAAAAAATCAGGTCACATGACGTCACCAAGAATATTTTTGCTATTCCTGACCTAAAAGACAGTCTATGCAGTTTTGTGCTAAAATATTATTTCCACATGACTTCAGTGGCTTCTCGCACTGTCCCAGAAGTAACCAAACAAGCTGAAATTGTGGCCATCATAGAAAGTTTGGATGCGGGTCTGCCGTGCACATGCCCTCGCTTCTGCCCTCCCTCTTACTGTTACAGGCCACTGCTGCGAGAGCCAACATGCTATTAAAGTGAAAGGAGGAGGAAGGAAACTCCTGGTCACGTGTGTCTGCAGGCAGTGTTGGCTGGGGGCATGGTGGGATTAAGAGTATGGGATTGACCCTCTGTCCCCAGTGTCAGATCTGCTGATAAAAAAATATCCAACCATTAGACACCCATCATTTTAACACAAATGTTTATCCAGAATTAAAGAAAATCCCCAAGAGTGTCTAAATGCAATTATTGTGGTCTTCAATCATTGACACTTTGAGGACAAGGTTGATGTCAGGTGGGAGATTTGGGAGGGAGGTAAAGTGCCGTGTGTGTGAGACTAGAGTGTTGGCAGTGGGGCCCTGCTTGCTGTCTGCCGCAGGTTCTTTAAGAAATGGACAGCTTCTAGTTTCCTAGTGCCATGTCAGAGTGCAAGGTCCTGTCGGCTTCCTAAAATCTGAGAAAGAGAAAGACAGGGACAGAGAGACAGAGAAGAAACCCCATGGCCATGGCCGCAGCACACTCACCTGGCACACTGGGAACACGGGTCACCTCCTCAGTGTCCACAAGAGCTGGGAACCCAAGACTGAGCTGTGTGCTTGGAATTCTGCAAGGTCAGAAGGCAACTTCTAACTTCTTGGCCTGCTGGGGGGGGTCTGTGGTTACTTTCGGCTAAGCAGGTCTTTCTGCAGATTGACAGGAGGTGTAGGGGTGAAAGGGTAGCATGAGCATCCAGGCTGTGAGAAAGAGGAGAAAATGGGAACTGGGGATGAACACGTGGGGTCGTGAGACTGCCCCAGTGGCCACCATCCCGGGGTTCTGGGTGAAGTGACTCTCCTCCTGATAGAACAGCTCACATTCTATGCTGTTTTCAGCTGTCTTAATGTCTTTCAAGGCAAAATGATCTAAAATCCATCATTTTATTAGACTCCCCTCAAAAACACCCCACAAAACTATGAGCTTAGCAGGAATTCCCATCCCCATTTCTCCAGGGGCTCAGGGACTTTAGAAAAGACCCCCATTGAAAACTTCACAGGGTCAGTGGAAGTCACTTTTTTGTTTTTGTTTTGTTTTAGGATTTCTGGGAGGCATCTTCAAGAAAAGTCTGCTTGAGCCTCCCCGGTGGCACAGCTGTTTGAGTGCAGGGCTGTCCGCAGCCTCTGCAACATGGGTTCAGTTCCCGGCTGGCCAGGGAGATACCCACATAACGCGCAGACCCCTCCTGTCTCGCCTGCTGCTCCCCTCAGCAGTGTTTTCGGGTCAGTCTGTCTGTTCTGCTCCCTGCTCTGTCTCTGGTGAATCCTCTCACCCTCCCGCGCCTCTGGCCTGTACCCCAGTTCTTATATAAATAAAAATAAATCTTAAAAAAAAAAAGAATAATCTTCTCAACATTTATTTCACTCTCTCATCAACTGGTCAAACTTCTGCTCCCAAAGAACATATCCACCCAAAGTTCGGAATCGGGTCCCTGCTCTTCTCATTGGCAGGACAGTAGCTCCCCAACTGTGCTTCTCATGCCAAGCTCCCCCTGGGTTTCTGAGTATCTTTGAGCGGAGTGGGTGGGGGCCTTAGGGCTCTCCCCATGACTCAATCTGAACAGCTCTACTTTCTTCTGCTTTATTTATTGGTCTCTCTGTAGGTATTAAAAAATGTTTGAGAACTACTATCAAACAAGCTCTCGTCTACAGTGTTATTTCCAGCCGGAACCCACATTCCAGTTTCTCTACATGACATGCCCATAAATCTACTTCAGCCTCCCAATAGAAGCAGGAGGACAGAAGCAGCCTGTTGGTCCTCACGACATACTGTCATCTGTCACATCAGGATGCCTCCAGGGGGTCTTAAATCCAGAGAAACAAGAGAGCAGTCATTTCACATCTTAAGACCCCTTTGATGAAAGAAGTCTCATTACCAGGCGTGCACAGTAGCTAGTATTTTACATAGACTAACTGGCCTGTTTTCATTCCTTTTAAATACCCAAAGGCATCCTACCTACATGAGTTGCTGAACGCCTTCAAACCATGGTCGTAAAGACTATTTGCACACGACACAAGTGCTAAGGAGCACCTGAAACCACTTTGCTTCTATTTGTTTTGCCCCCTAATATGCACACTGGTATATTAGTGTTTCTTTTGAATCCTCTTGGGTTTGGATATAATACACCCAAGTTTTAGTTCAAATTGAGTTTTCACAGCTGGATTATAAACCAATGGAAATGTTGACCCAGCACCAACGGTATCATTCCAAACAGGTGTTGCTTTAATTAGCCTTATCGTAAAACAAAAATTAAAAATTAAAGGAAAACATTTTCATGTACCTCAAGAGTTTCTGAAGGTCTTAAAGGGAGCAAGCAAATCATTGAGGACTTTTGAGGCTTGTGTCCTTTTCTCAAAGGCTCTCTTACAAATTCTGCAACACTTCTGAAGCTGCAATAATACCCCACTGTTTAAAAGGAGAAAAAAAAAGTTGGATTCCCTGGCTTGTTTGCCAGCAAAGGAGAACGTTTTTAAATAAAAGCAGAGAGGGCCTCCCTAGTGGTGCAGGGGTTAAAGACAGCACTATCAAGCTATCAGCAGCCACTGCAGCAAGAGTTCTATCCCCGGCCAGCCAGGGAGCTGACCCACATGGCTCAGCAGACCTCCCGTGCCTCGCCCACCACTCTTCTCGGCAGTGTGTTTCAGTGGATCCACCTGTTCTGCTCCCTACTCTTTCTGGTGGATCCTCTCACCTATGCACCTGTGGCCTGTACCCCAGTTCTTGTATGCATAAATAAATAAATCTTTTAAAAAGTTAAATATATAAATAAAAGCAGAGAGGCTTCCAAAGCCACTCACTGAGATCTTAAATGACCTCGCCTCAGACAGGAAAAGACAAAAGGCCAGTCTTCCAAGTCACTCCTGACCTTAAAGGGGAGGATCCCTGTTTTCCACCCAAGACAAAGCAGTCTTAGGTGGTTTAACTCAGCAGAGAAAGCATATCTCAGTCTGTCTTGCAAAAATTCTACCCCCAAGGAGTATCTGAGCTCATTGCTTCCCACACATGAAACCATTTAGAGAACAAGTTAAAGTTGAATGTGAATTAGTTCAGGTGTGTTGACATTGTAGCAAGACAGCACACATTTCCTTTAGCTCTGGGAAGTCTTGGATGACTTCCTAGAGAAAGCGGTGCAGGACTAGAGACTGAGGATGCAAAGAGAAGCTGTGGAGCATCTCGAGTCAGGGTGCTGCATCAGGGAAGGCTGAGCACAGTGGCTCTCTAGCTGTGTACACCAGCCACCAGGAGGGCTGCTAAAACAGATCACAGATTAGATTACTGGTCACCCAGAGGTTCCAGTTCAGTGGATCTGGGGAGAGGGTCCAAGAATTGGCATTTCTAACAGGTTACCAGCTGCATGTGGAGGCTGAGGTCCTTAGATTGCACGTGGAGAATCGCTGATGGAGACAGAGGATTGTGCGTGGCTCTCGGGGCTGGTGTAGGTGTTGACTAAGCAGTAAGAGCATTCGAGAAAAAAGTAGAAGAGTAGAGCGTGCACTTCCTTAAAAGGATCTTGGATTTAGAGAGTGGAATAGATCACTTTTTTTTTTTTAAATAAATTTTATTTTTATATTCCCCATACAATTGCAGTCCCCTTATTTTGACCCCAATCCCTCCCCTCCCCGCCCCCACCACCCCATAGAGTGTCTCTGGTTCATAGTTTTTTGTTGATTTTGATTTTCACTTTCTTATAGTTATTCTTTTTCCTGGTCCCTTATTTAAGTTTTCTAGATTCCTGCTATGAGTGAGACCATCCGGTATTTTTCTTTTTCTTTCTGGCTTATTTCGCTGAGCATGATCCCTTCCAGTGCCATCCATGTTGCTGCAAATTGCATGTGTTTATCTTTTTTGAATGCTGAGTAATATTCCATGGTATATATGTACCACATCTTCTTGATCCAGTCATCTATTTTTGGGCATTTGGGCTGTTTCCAAAGCTTAGCTATTGTAAACAGTGCTGCTATAAACATAGGGGTGCAGGTGCACTTTGGAATTGATGTTTCTGTGTCCTTTGGGTAAATACCTAGGAGTGGAATTGCTGGGTCCTATGGGAGCTCTATGTTTAGTAGGTCCAGAAATCTCCACACAGCTCTCCATAGTGGTCGGACCAGTTTGCACTCCCACCAGCAGTGCAGGAGAGTTCCTTTTTCTCCACATCCTTGCCAACATTTGTTGTTGCTAGTTTTTTTAATATGTGCCATTCTCACTGGTGTAAGATGGTATCTCATGGTAGTTTTGATTTGGCATAGATCACTTTTTATGCTAAAAACAAAGGATTCACTTCCACCTTAACCCTCTTTCCAGCTACCCTATGAGCCTTGTCCACCTTCTTTCTCAAAAGAAATGAATGATGTGTAATGCGTGGTGCTGGAACTGTGTTAACTCTGTTAGTCCTCAGAAGACATCAATGCAATAAAAATAATCAAGACAGTACTGATGATGGTGGCCACTGTGTGCTTTCCACTGACTCAGCACTCCTGTGCCTCTGCATCCTAGTAGGCCCAGGCAGAATTCTGCATGTCACACAGAGAGGTATCTTCTCACAGAGATAAAGTCTTACTGGAAGATACTAGCTTCTCTAGTCCTTTCTATTACTTGGCTTAAAGGTTTGATGCTTTTGAGGTACAAGGAACAGAGATACACTAAGGAAACTCAAATGACAGAGACTTGCCATTAGACTGGGTAGGGAAGAAAGAAATATGGAAGTAACACAACTGGGCCTTTTGAAAATGCCACACAACTTTATGGCATCTTTAGTCATTACTTATTAATAATTTTTTAGGTAGTATTCATTCATTTCCAGACAATTCCCTCTGTGAAGTCACCTTTATATCAGCAGTGACTAGCACAGTGTCTTGCACATCAGCATACCAATAAACATTTGGTGGATGATTAATAAATGAATCAACATATTATTTGCTTTAAGGATTTTTTTAAAGATTTATTTATTTATGCATACAAGAGCTGGGGTACAGGCCAGAGATGTGAGGGTGAGAGGATTCACCAGAGACAGAGTGGGGAGCAGAACAGGCAGACCTACTGAAATACACTGCTGAGGGGAGCAGTGGGCGAGGCAGGAGAGGTCTGCCGCACCACGTGGGTTGCTCCCTGGCTGGCTAGGGATTGACCTTGTGCTGCAGAGGATTCAGACAGCTTCATAGGTTGCATCTTAACCCCTTGCGCCACCAAGGAGGCCCCCTGCCTTAAGAATTTTTAATGGCACTTATGCAAAGATTTTAGAATGAATGCAAATCCATACAAAAGCTTGCATAATCACCTATATCTTCTTTTTAGCTTGATTATTGTTCTGAGACTATAAGATGGATGAACTCAAAAGGTAACTGACATGTGCAATGTGGTATATCATTGCCCGGGAAAAAGAATGAAGGGGTTTTAATCTCACACATTACAATTCATTGGGTATACAGACATAAGTCATTTCACCATGCTGAATTTTAATGTATTGTGTTGTGCTATATTCTAATATTAAAATTTAAACAGGGGTTCGTTGACTTCAAAGATCCTGTCCACCTATCTCTAACTTTCTATACATACAGAATATTCAAAAGCTAAAATAATTTTTTTAAAATGATTTAAGTCAGGGTTTTTATTACTTTTAATGGGAAATATTAAAATGATAATGGAGTATTCACTGTTTTCTCCTGCAGCTACTTTCTTTAATGTCTACATCTCAAATTAGATTAAATTCTTGAGAATAAGGATGGTTTATCTTGTTTCGCTTGGTGTAACCAATACCTGAATCAGGGAATGGTACAAATCAACCTTCAGTAGATGTTGACTATGAAGAGATAGATGAATAGCCACTACTCTTCATGTATATAGAGATAAGTTTAATAGACCTTATAGCTGGGTTTCCTAATACCATCTTCAGTTTATATGATTCACGAGGAGTGCTCCCAGTACCCAACATATAACAAATTTGATTCAAAGAAAAGGACACAAAGCTATCAGAAAAGGGAAAAGGTGCCTGTGACATGGTTTGGAAGGAACTAGGTGCAAACTTCCAAGAATCTTCTAGAGAAATCACTCAATATATGCTTAACTCCTATAGCAAGAAGTTGTAAGATGTCAAATGCTTTCCTATCAGGGAAGTTCATTTGGAACTCAGCACCCATGATACTGATTGTGTACTAACTATGTAGACACTCTCTGTCCAACACATACCAACATTCCAGACTTCCAGAAGGAAAACAGGTGCTCAACTTGAATCAGTTCAGGTATGGTGAGCCTTCTCTTCGCGGTTCAAGAAATGGTGGGAACATTCTCAAATTTTAAGTTCCCAGAGGGGTATCAACTTTGCAAACAGGCATTTCTAATGCTAAAGATCTCAAGTCTGCTCTATTAACTCTGTTTTGTGCTCCCCTCCCATATCGTATGTCTGTTATTATTACCAGATATTTCATTTCTACATAGCTTTTAAATCCCATCAGGCATCATTGTTATTGCTTGTTGGAGTCAATATTCTTTTGATGAAACTTTCCATTGTTCTTTTCTTCCTGCATTTTCTATTTACTAGTGATATCTCTCAGCTTTTATCAGGAGTATCTTCATTTCTTATCCATTTTTGAATGATGTTTTTGCTGGTTGTAGATTTCTAAGTTGGCATTTATCTTCTTTCAGCACTTTAGAGATATTTTTGTAGTCACATAGTCTCCTTCATTTCTGCTGAGAAGTGGTCTTAAATTTACTCTTTCGTAAGTAATATCTCTTTTTTCCACTGGCTACTTTTATTATTTTCACTTTAGTTTTTGTTTTCTGGAAGTTTTACTGTGCTATGTCTAGGGATTTGAACTTGCATGGTTTCTTGAATCAATTCTTTTCCATTTCTTGTCAAGTATTATCTCTGCCTTATGCCCTCTCTGATATTAAACTCATGTTAGACTAGTGGCCCCCAATTAGAGACCATATATTTATTTCCCCTATGACAAATACACTTCCCCTACATTTATTTGACTCAAAATGTCAAATAGTGAAGAAGCTTAGAAACTTTGTGTTAGAATTGCAACTTCTCTGTCTTTATATTCATTTTTATAATTACCCTTCTTTAACCTCCATGCTTCTCTCCAATATTTTTTACTAACCTATCTTCAAGCTCAAAAAGCCCTTTGGCTCTGTCTAAATCACTGTTCAATCCACCTGTTAATTTCCTAATATCAAATATTAGAATTTTCAGTTCTAGAATTTCCACTTGGTTATTTTATATAGATGCCAGTCCTCTGATGAAATCTTTCATATTGCCAGTTCTTTCCTTGAGCAAATTAATCACAACTATTTTTTAACCCACATCTAATAATTCCTGTGTCTGAATCACCTCTGTATTCTCTGGTATTTTTACTAACTCATTTTTTTCTCAGCATCCCTGATTATTAGTTATTGAATATCAATAC